ATCAATTCATAGGAACCACTTAAGGCAAAAGTGCAATTCAACCATCAACCACTACTGAATGAATATCTGCATTGATCGTTTTCAGTGCGGACATTGATCTTTTTTTTTTCAAAAAACACACCTCTGTGGATACCCAAAGGACCTAATTGATCTTAGTGTGATCGTGGAATAAAAATCCCAGCGATCAAACAAATCAATGTATGTGTACTGAAATGAACAGTGAGCAACTAATAAGTTTAAAATCACGACTAAAGTAATGCAAAAAAAAAACGATTACATTGTGATATTCAACTGCAAAGTAACCTTCACCACCATTTTTTCTCCATATTGCTCGTGTTGATCCGTGATTTATTGGTCGGTCACTTTAACGATATAATTTATAGCGTTTTCGATGAGATTTTCAATTACAAGCTGTCAAAGGTGTATCTCATGCAATATTCTTCAGGTACAAATTATGCGTAGTGTCAGACGACAATCGATTTCATATTCGTCTTAAAATCGAGTAATGCATTCGACGTTGAGTAATGACACATTTTTTATTCAATCTCATAATCAATTCAATGATTTTAAATTACTCAGTCGGTAAGTGTTATTGCTATCGTCAAAAGGAATGCGCATTTAAATGCAAAACTGAACCCTAGAATCGCATTCCTATGTTTATTTCATCAAAAATTTCATATCGGCTACACTGACTTTCTTGGCACAAACTTACATTCTTATAATAAAGCGAGCACTGCACAAGAAATGCTGCATAAACTTGTAAAAGGTTTGTGAATTGAAGTAATTGGTGCGTTTTTGTGCTCAGAAACGGAATTTTCAGGATCCTTTAAATGCTTCAGCTGTATGTCTCGTTATTATGGTGCAACCTGGCAATTCGCCGGTTACAGTCGAATCTATATGGAGCCACGTTCCTTTACAGACTACTGCAGCAATCCATATGAGCGTGGTACGGATGTTCCATACACGTTTTGCGAGGACTCCAATAATTGTATTTCAATGGTTGAGGACCTCAAAATCGGTAATTTCAAATCAGTCAGTTTTTTTCACAAGAGACGCGTCTTTTTTTCAATGAGATATCTTGTCAACATTACATTTTCAACAGTACGAATGGGAATTCCAGCTGATATTCGGTTGATGATGATGCACCAGATTTTGTATGCACTTCATTGTACTGCCAACAGCGTTGCAACTGAATTGCTTGTCCTTAAAATCGAAACAAGCGTTACTTTTCAACATGCATTAATCATTCACTGAGCTTATGGATCATTTCTTTCTGAGATTCATTACAAAGTAATTTCCTTCAAATATCATCAGAAATTGCGTGGCAGAGCGAGAGCAATTTAACACTGGATGATCATTAATGTTTGATTAGGATTTCTTCATTGACTACTTGAAATTGATTTCAGTGAAAGCGCATCGCACGTTGTACAGCACTGCGGATAGCAGTGAAATTCGGAAAAGTTTTTGCATTGTAAATTTCATGAATTTTTTATGACAGCTTTGGAAGTAGGACTCATACTTTTGAAATTGAACTGAATCACCCAACTAGAAGACGGACGCATCATCCGCATATGAAGGTGGTCTAAAAACTTCACACTATCAATATTGAAAATGCAAATGAGCAATTCTACCTTCAGTGGTACTTAAAATGATTTCCAGAGGAATTCTTTGCAAATAGATAGCAATTCCATTCACCACAGCTTCACTAGGATGGCTAGAAGTTTCTGCCTGCTTGAGGATGATAGATCTTGAACCTGGAAGAGACGATTTTTCCAGTAATTTTTCTCCGAATACTTGTCTAACCGATGATTGATTCAATAGAATGAAATGAAAATGCATTGAGAAGAGGTGTGTTAACAAACATTTGCTCAATGTATGAACTGATCATGAATAATTGATTTGGTTCAACCTTGTCAAGCCATGTGACAGTAAGCTGGATGTGTTTCACTCAACAAGCATGAAGTGACTTAGCTTCACTGATGGGAATTTCATGGACTTGGTGAGTTGTAACTGAATACATCGAATGATTACGTCCCGATCGTTTCATTCCACATTACATATCTGCACCGCAACAAATATTGACCAAACCGTCACGTACACCTACACACATGTATTTATCTCTCAAACATTGCTTCCAGTAACATGAAAGGATCGATTTAATTCAAATCACTTAACAATTAAGTCGAGGAATCATCTTAATAGTGTACGGTTTTCTCACTACAACAAAGGTTTTGTCGAACAGTTGATGCTGATCTCAGTCGAACTGAACGTCCAGAAATCTTCCACAAACATTTTCGCATTCTCTTACGACAATGAGTTTGAGAGATACAAATTTGTTTACAAAAGACAACTAAGAACAGCAATGGCTTTTGAATAGGCCTCAATGCATCCTGACGATTCTCTTTGCACGNGGGGGGGGGGGGGGAGGGGATTCGTTTAAAAAGAAGACTCGAAAGAATGAAATGAGAAAGATGAAATTATCAGCAAAAACCCGATAAAGATCACGTTGAAATTGATCAATTCACAATGGTTTTGTTGCGTGACATAATTCTTATTTTATGATCATTACTTTTTGACATTCTTCATTCATTTGGTTTAACGACCTGTTTGTTAGTATCATCAGCACAAAAAGTTTACGGTGGTATGAATGATAATTATGGTAAGCAGTCGCTATATTGCGTGATCAATTTTCGCATGGTTTAATGATAGGGAATGGAAGTATGACTTACTTCATAGGAAAGTTTTCACGTGGTGCCATTTCTTATAGTCAGTCGTAAAGGTGCACTTTTGAGCATGTTCTGTAGTTAATATTGCAATTTTTGCTTTATTGACCAAACCGTTACGGCTTGCAAGCGTTGCCACCGTTTGGATTGTGCAATGGTTAAGAAAAAACGGAACTACTAAAAACAACAATGGAACGGAACAAATCATTCCGCATTTGTTCTCGAGTGCGAGTATACACCGAATTATAATTTCCACAAAATTCATCGGTTTTAATAGAAATGTAATTGAAGTCGATAATCGAATAGCTGTGAAATGTGAAATTTAATGAAGGATTCTTTCATCCAAATGTGGTGGTCAAGTTCATCGTGCGAGTCAGTCAAATGTAATTTAAAATAAATATATTGCTTGCTTGAGATGGCTTAAGGTGTTTATAAAGGTTGTTCCCGTGAAAATTTCAATGGTCATAGTGAAATTTCAACTGTTAATTTTTGAAGACTCGCAATTTCTGAACGTTGCATTGGATTTCGATTTCAAGTGTAATAGATTTTCAATGACCACTAGGTAAAAGAACCTGGAACATTGAGTGCTGATTGATTGATCGAGTATCAATGTGGTCTCCTGCTTGAATAATGAATGAAATGTGCTCTTGATGGAGAAAGGATGAAAATGATCGAATACCCATTAAAAAATACTCACTTGTGTTCATGATTGCTCGCTTGTTTCTGTTCTGTCATGCATTCCAATAATCATGAATATTTAACGCAGTTGTCTAATTAACATTCATCAACGCTACAAATATGTTATTCTGTTTTGGAGGATACAGTTAAGTCACCACAGCAATGCCGATGAAAGAATTATTACGTTGAAAACGGATTGCATGCGAATTTCCATTTGAGAGTTATTATTCAAGTAGGAATCTAACGTTCATCTGATGACTTTAATTTATTTCATTTCACCATCAACAGTGATTGGATTCAGTTTTGCCAATTCTCTATTCTAAGGTATAGTGAGACGAGCACTTTTCACTAGTCTCATTAATTGTAAGCCACAAATTTCAAGGCAATGATTCAAGTCCTATCAATTACGTGAGCTGATGGTGTTCAATCTCCTAACAAATTAAGTTGTTATAATTATGCACTTGTTTGCAACCAACTACACTTGACATCTTCAGCCTGGAAATTTTCGATTCGATCTGTTCGCAACAGTTGCTTACAAATGACTTTTAGGCGTTGGTGCACATGGTCACATCCGTGGCTGTTGGTCGTCGATTTTTTTATGGGGTTTCAACCGGACTGGTGCAGCGGGTGCACTACGCAACCATCAGTTCTGTCATGAATTCAATCTTTCACAAATTATCGCCGGCGGAAAACCGTTCGAATCTGAACTCAGGTTCAGTTTCTCTTAAATTTTGCTGAACATGTTTCAATCGAAACGAAGTGGCCGCCTCTGTTCAACAGAACAACCACACTTGAACGATTGCACCCGATGAATTCACAGAGGCAGTTTTTCAAAAGAAGACGGGGGGAGATTTGTCCTGACATCCAAATGCTGTGTTGCCTAATACGAACAGGAATAATCAGCGAATGCTGGTGTTCGGAAGCAATTTGGAGTTTATGAATTAGATGATGAATTACNAGTCATATCAATACCACTCAGCTCCAACATAGATGAGGTTGATTTCGATCGAAGGGAGCATAGAATTTGTTCAGTCAAATTGAAATTTTATTTATTTAACTTTAATCAACTTAGTGCTTATTATTAGCTGAAAGCTGGTGAACGTGATGCACTGCTCCAGAATTTGATGAGTTGCCGCTTCGAATGAAAATCAGTCTCGAAGCGGACACCCTAGTCATCTTCATTAACGCTCGATTTCCATTGTTCTATTGCCTCACGGATGTTACAATTGATGATGAAATAATGACATTTACACATTAAGGGTGTGCTCATGCGCCGGCAATTTGTGCAATGGCGTTTCATCGTCTGGAGTGCCGTATGGAACGAAGAGCCTTCTCACAGCTGCCGTTATTTCATGTTCTCTTATCGCATTCCTTTTGAGGATCGTTTAAACATTCGATTGCTTAATTGACTGATCCATACACTGATTCACACCTCTGCTGTATATAAACAATTTTTGTTCAATCAAATCGTTTGTCTTCACACAAACAAAGGTTTTTCTTGTGGCACTATTGTGAAGCCAATGAATTGTTGTATATTAAAAAGCAGGCAATGCACCACATCCAGAATTCCACCTGGCAACATCGTGCCCATTCACTGACGGACTATCGAAATTATCCAGGATAAATCATCACTATCGTTCAACAGAACAACCACACTTGAACGATTGCACCCGATCATTTCACAGAGGCAGTTTTTCAAAGGAAAACGGGGGGTGGTTTGTCCTGACATCCAAATGCTGTGTTACCTTATACGAACAGAAATAATCAGCGAATACTGGTGTTTGAAAGCAATTTGGAGTTTCAATTACTGTGTAACTTGAACTTATCATCAATTTAAAATTGAAAACCATTTTCCAGCTAACGATACCAATGAAAGTATGAGTGGAGAAGTACGGCATCATGGCAGAACGCTTTGATAGCATAGTATTAAACTGACTTTTAAGCGGAACGATCGACACTGATAAGGAAGCTGTAAAAGGCTCACAAAAGCCTATCTACACAAATGACTTATGCCTTGAGCTTTGAATGTGGAAATTTCGAAATGATATGCATGAATCTTATTAATNAAATTGCATTTTCCACATCGCTTTATCAACATTTTGAAATACATTATAATTGTTTTTGCGTTCTCATGCCATTTGCAAAAGTTGAATTCGACGATTCAGCGATGAACACTGATTGTGAGATTGTTGATTGCGAATTAACGTCGACTGCAGTGGGAGCATCTCACAAACTTAACGTTATCACATTCAAATATGAATTTATCAGGCAACACAAACAAACATTCTTGTGAGACGGGACGAATTTGTTGGATAGTTTATGCTGCATGAATAATCGTTGGCTGCCATATTCCATCTCGCGGCCAGTGAGTGGGCAAGGGGACGAAAGATGTTCATTAAAATCAAGTGATCAAATTTGTTTGCGTGCAGTAGTGCTTTCGTGGAAAAGGGAGTGCATGAATAATCACGTGAACGTATGAAAACAAACACGGTGAAAATATCATATTAAAGGTGAAAAATTCGTTAAAAAATTATCACACTGGAAATGATTACAGTGGTACACGACAATAACGTGAGCGATAATAACCATATTAATAATTAGAAACAATAATAATAGCATTAATCATGATCATAATAATGACAATATAAAAATGATAGTAACATCATATCATTGATAATAAGTTGGTATGGGATCGTCGGAGAAAGGATCATTAATGATGAGTTTGAGTTCTTGAATTAATGGCGTTGATAACGAAGGTGAAATTTGGTACAGTTTACGGTTACAGTGAAATACGACGGTTTACTGTTTTAATGAAAATTCGTACATATTGTGCCTCCAGCGAAATTTGGTAAGACTAGTGTCTTGCATAGAATCTGATACAGTGATTACATCAGTGAAAACTGGTACAGATTTTGCCTTCAGCGAAATTTGTTACAGTTTAAAGCTTCGATGAAGATTGATACAGTTCACTGGTTCAGTAAAATTTGGTACAGGTTGTTGCTTTAACAAGATTTCTTCCAGTTTATTGGTTCTTCCAATGCCTTGTTGGGATGCAGACAGCAAAGAAACATGTAGAATATTTATTTGTTTACTGGCCAAATTTTTGACCTTCGACATCATAGACAAGAAGACGATATAATAAAGATATAATTTGAACCAAAGATATAATTTGAGTCTAACAATAAGTACGAATATCGATAGTGTTCAATATAAATAGTTAGGATATGCATGTTGCTGAAGCCTATACGATTGTTTTAGTGAAAGAAATGTGATGAATCGAAAACTAAACGGACAAAGCAGACATCTAATGGCTAACGAATGACGAGACGACGTGATAACCACTGCTGACAAAACCCTACTACGAAAAAGAACCAACACATCAGATAACGGCTATGGTGCAGGTGCTAAAGGCTGCAAAGGAGTCGTCATTTGCTCTACCAACGAATTCGTTACGTTGCTAGAAATCGTTGTGTTGTAATCGAAACTGCACTCATCTAAGATACGTTCAACGCAAGTCGAATTAAGTATGTTGGGTTGAAAGCGTGCCATATTAGCCTGAACTCCACACATCGCAATTCCCAGAGTTGTTCCGCAAAGGTCACCGAACACCTGATCAGCACATCGAGCAGGGATTACAGAAAGACTGAAATGGGAATTTCCTGAGCAATGAAACGGCAACCAACGAATTTAGGAATTGAAAAATAGGCACTGAAGGGAAGTCCAGGAGACTTCGAATAGAGTATCTGGTAAGACTAAAATTAATTACTTGCAAATATCTGTAGTATTTCCTAGTCCATTTTCTAGTCCACATAGTTCTATCTGTTCGATGACTGTTTCATTGGTTCCATAATCGATCAAACAGCGCTCATTTTCTTGGAAAACTGGAAATAATACAGAAATTAAACACTTTCGCAAATACTTTACTAATGAGAAATATACTCAATGACAACTTTGCGTGCTGTAGAAATTCACTCGGCGTAGCGCTGGTTTCGTTGAAGCACGTAACCGATGGAAAATCAAGGGCATATGGAACTGTGGAAATGGAAGTAGCTTGAGCAGAAAAGTTGAAGGATTGCCACGCAGCCAAACAGTGTGCACATGAATAAGATGAGCGGCAGTGCCATGGGTCAACCACGCTTCCGTATTGTGTGCCCAACTCCAAGATTCAATGTTTCAGTTAAACTGGTCGGAACAGAGTGATGAATTTCGATCAACGACGGGAAATACCATCACTGTGTTGAAAGCGAGCGGTGATGACCTTAGATACAGGACGGCAAATGAGCCTAACTGTTAAAAAGTACTTTTGCTCCTTTTCTCACCTTCATAACCCTGACCGCATATATACTCAAATCCTGCGAAGATCGCAGAGTATTGAATGGCATCGGCAGAGGTTAAACTCATCACTGCAAGATTTTTTCCATTTACGCAATCAGGCATCGAAGCAAAGGCGACATCTCTTTCGATACAATGGTGCAACCAATTGAATATCCTGCAAAACGACCTCTAGCTCCATTTATACCCATAACTGTGCATTAAAATGTGATTTTCGTAGATAGAGGCAGAGAGGGATGGGGAATCTTTTGTTGCAAAATTTCTCGACGTTACTGGAATCATCGGCATACACTCCTCAGCCACAAAAGAGGAGTAAGTGTCACAGATCACTACTACATAGATGAGTGACTTTCATATGGTAAAGATTTTATCCTTTGGCGACGTAACCAACGTCGGGGGAATTGAAAATGATGGTTAACTGATATTGAACGACTACATTTCCACGCCTCTGACAAGGTATTGCGAAAATGATTCGAAGATGTTCCCTCGACTCGTGAACGGTCATGCATTCGTACGACATTTATGGGCTGTGTGTTGCATCTGGTAAAGATGAGAATATGGACTGAGGCGACCACGAACCTGCATGTTCTTTTCATAAGTGCAGTGGAATTTTCGACCTTGTCCAAAAAAGAGTCAAATGGTGGAAGAAACGGTGACAATACAAAGCCATATTGATGCATATATACATCATAACATCCATAAAGCACCTAGAATTGCAACTGATTAGTACATTATTGCCTAGCTTTTTCAACAGCGCTTCAAAGAAAGATTAACATAAATTTACTCACAAATCAGCTCAAGCATTCGGTTTGAAAGTGAACGTAACCAATGTTCGATGCTCAAAGATACCGACAAATACTTACACGCAACTACCGTCTAACTAACATACGCTTGCTTCAAATATTTCGTCCGATTATGTGATACTGTGTCTGTATTTGAAACTGTCAAAAAACGTGAATCGAATTACTGTACAACATCTGGAAGAAACTGAATGCAAATTCATAGCTACTCGTCAAAGTTGCTTCCACATACATCAGTTAGGTTATGTGGACAACTCGTTGTGGCTGTTTCGTTGTCATTGGGTTGTTGAGTGGTCGAAGGAGTTGTCCGTTCACTGTTGTCAACAGAGAGATGTTCTCGGGGGCGAAAGCTGTTGGAGACAGCTCCAAACAAATCGAGACCATTTTGGGCAATAATGCTCTCAAAAAATTTGCCTGAGACCAGCGGTAACAGTACTGTAACAAAGAGATTATTGTGGGTCTGCCCATTAAGCAAAAGATATTGTAAAAACAAAACTGGCCACGGTTTCTCTAGTGGTTCCACTGCTCATCGACTTGAAATACAGACAAATGTACCTACCAAGATCTCAATTCAGGCATTGAAGTGAGGTGCTACTGGGCTAACTCCTATATTCAAGTACTAGCAACAGTAAGTTTTATTAATGAGCTTTGTGGACCTTACGGAGGTTAGGCTAACCCGAATATTGAGGTGGTCAAGCTTGAGTTCTCATGATCCGGTTGCTCATAGCCGTGGACCTTGTTTAGATACCTATTCATATGTATGATTAGGAGGAAAAATAAGTAATTGTTGCAAATAATATCAACTTACTGAGAAGGATAGCCCCGATCGGCACTGTTGTTGATTTGGAGCGGAGCATTTTGAATTTACTAGAGAGAATAAATGTTGCTCTTCAAACTGACTGTATTTAAGCATTAACTCTACCAACTTTATTGCAGAGATCACTCTTACCAATCGAGATATATCACGGAAAGTGCAAAAATGCTGACCTTTCTGTAAGAAATTCAAATGAGGAGGTGCCGTCGAGATAAGGCATAAATGAGAGGGATAGAGGAAGAAACGAAAACGGTAATGAAAAATGCTCTGTAATGGTTGCCAAACAGTTTCTGAGACAACTAAAACATGAAAATATCAAAGTATTGGATTGTTTGTTGGAGCAGAGTGACATGATAATGAACTCACTATCGAATGGTTCGAAATGGCAAGATTTTGAGATGATACTGATAAGACTGGCATGTACATGGCTTACTTGCATGATT